GTGGTTTTCTTTTGGGTCCGTGACAACTAAAGCGAATATTTACTGAAATGAGGGGCCTTAAGCTAACAGTCTGACACCTGGTGAGAGCTTCAACATGACCTTGTTATACATCAGAATGCTCCAAAACACCTGTGTCTATACGTACATGGTGCGTATTCTTTAATACATGGGTTTATGTTGTGTTTCAGGGAGGATATTGATGAATTGGAGGCTATTAAAACTTGAGAATAAGACAAAAGTCGCTCAGCATGGGACCTAACACGTAGCTAAAACTATAAACTTAAATGTATTTTAAAAAGACCATCAGAAACACTCTAACCTGTGCAAAAATCGTATTAGTTATCAAGCTTTCGGTCAACATTACACTAACTAGCCTTCATGAAGGTCTGAACAAAAGCGTGCTTATAACGATAGATTTTTGCGCGGATTCGATACGAGGGAGATCTTTTCTTTAAGGATGAAGCAGAAATTGGCTTTGCTGTTCGCAAGTGTTACAAACAAAATTGGACACTTACAGGCAGGGGCGGTTCTAGGGGGGGCCAGTACCCCCCTAACACTGACCTCTGACCCCCCTGTGGCCCCCTAACAATGAAAAGTTTTGTTTTTGTTTTTTTTTAAATGTTAAATGTGTTAGTGCAAACATTGTACTATAACTTAAGCTGAAGCTAACAGTAATAACTATAAGATCTATCTGAAATAAATAAGTGTACTGAAACAAATACCAGTAACTGTATTGCATTGTTTTCTTATGCGCAATTACTTCATACTGTCTAGTTCTCTTTTTCGTCCTGCATTTATTGTGCCCCCCTCAGAAAATAACTGGCCCCCCCAGTCAAATTGGTCTAGAACCGCCACTGCTTACAGGATGAACAACAACATACGCATCTTGTAAGTAAAAACAATAAAAAACAATCAGACAGACATTGTTTTTAGTGACGTGTGCATCATGTCTTGGAGGATACTGGGGATAAAACGGTAAAAATATGAGATTCGACTTAAGACATTGAAGGTATTGAGAATCCTGATTTCAAAGAGGTTAGTAGAGGTTAAAGGAACAAAAGGATACATCTAAATGGACTATTCCTTAATTTTCCATCTTCAGGCGCATTGGGGGTAATCGTCCAAGTGAAGTCGGACTTTACTCAAATGGCCTTTCTTAAAGTCTGGATTTCGACTTGTGTGTGAAGCCTGGACGTTTAGTTTCTATTTGTAGGTAAAATCGATGTTACGTACTTCCCAAAAACTGGGTCCAGCGTGCAGGGGATGTAGTTCTCGTGGTCGTTGATGGTATTTTTCCCCAGAGTGATCTTCACGTAGGGGTCACACTGAAAACACAAGGAGAGAAACCGTCCATTAACACACACACAAAAACACATTTTATCTCATTCTTCCATCTTAATAATAATAACAATAACAATACAGGGGATTTGTATAAGATAAAGAAGTACTACTAAGACAAGGCTTTGTACATTAGAGAAATTAAAAGACTAGAAATAAACAATTCAAATAGAAATAGAAATAAAATAGCATTAGAAAAGCGTTTTTCCTAGTGCTCAAAGACGGTTAATACCCTTCTAAAGTTACTGATACAGAGTGTAATATCTCTAAATATCCGGATGTTTCTCTACATGTTGTCATCCCGATGATATCACTGCTTTGTTTTCCCGTTTTATTCTGAAAGGTGTAAACCCCCCTAGTTATGTCTGCTCTCACTTCCTGTCTCTGTGTTTCCCTCCTGTTTGATTGGCTGATTGTGATCACCTGTGTTTTTCCTCCCTCCCCACCTGTGTCTTTGTGATCACTCTTGCAGGTATTTAAATTCTAATCGTCTTTTGTAAGAAATTAAAATCAATGTTTAATGACGTAATTTAATTTAAACATACTGTAAGCTTAAAACGGTTTTATTCTGAAAACATTTCATTTCCGGTTAGCATTGACTTGTGGCTAACGTTGTTGCTAAATGAATGTACAGTTTATTTTGAAAAGCTTTATTGAAAGGCGTCTCCGTTGTCAACAGTGACGTCACATCCGGTTTTACGTTAACAATGATTACAGCCGTTAAAATGCATTAAATAAAAAGTCATGAATGAGTGTATGTGGAGAAAAGGCGTGTGGATCCTCTGATTTACGCGATATCGGACACAGAAGAATATGTGGAGGCAGGACCCCCTTCGTCAGAGGAGGAGCCAGGGATCAGATACAGAGATGTTCGGGCTGTGTCTATCGTTTTTCCAACCCAGTTTAGATTTAACCACGCCCACTTCCGCAAGGATCGACGTAGCTCTACGCGATAGCGTCATAGACGCGGCACACCCGCAAAATCTGAATCTGACAAGCGAAATACCGTCCTTCTAAACGCTGCATAATATACAATATACAATATAATAGTGCTTCTTTGTCAATATGACTGACGACCACACACATTTGAGGATACACACAGGCTATTCATAGATGATAAAACACCAGTAATACAATCTCAGGACTCTTCGATATGGCTTTGATTACAGGATCGTTTACTTTCAGTCAACAAATCCTTTGGAAAGACAAAAAACAACTATTCAATATCCTGCTTTACCGCGACCGCTATAACTGCCGAAGAAGAAGTCTATGACGCTATCGCGTAGAGCAGTGCTTCTCAAAGTGTGGTCCGCGGACCACTGGTGGTCCGTGAGTGCCCCCTTGTGGTCCGTGAGTATATTGGTAACATTTCACATTTGAAATTAATTAATCAATTTAAGTTTTCCGCACTCTCGCGGGAATATCTCCGCAATGGAGCGAGGTTAAGTTTCACTTTCGATTGCATGATATAGCCCAGCGCAACACCTTCGTCAAACATGTTGCCACTTGTTTGTACCATTTTCAGGCGATTTGTAATCTGTTCTAGAAAAACGATGTGTTTTTTGATATTTGTGGAGTTAGGTGGTCCGTGAGTGTTTTTTTATTGGTTAAGTCCTTGGTATGAAAAAGTTTGAGAAACACTGGCGTAGAGCTACGTCGATCCTTGCGTAATGCAGAAGTGGGCGTGGTTAAATCTAAACTGGGTTGGAAAAATGATAGACGCGTCCGGGCTTGCTCGTCTTCCCCCCACAAACTGGCGCTGTGTTCCTGAATCGCCCTGTTTGTTTCAAAACCACGTTACTTAATTAAAGTACCCATTTGAACCTTTTCGAGACTACATTGTCTCTTATTTAACTTCCTCCTGGACTCGAGAACAACGACCACGTTTCAACACTTTCAGTTGTTGTGAGATCCTTGTTGAAGTTGAATGTGTTCTGCTCTGTATGTTAAGACTCGTAGCCTTGAAATAAAGGTATTTTCTGTGAAACCCAGTATCTGTCCTGCATCTAGGTCCTGTCTGCTTCGCTCACCCTGAAAAGTCCATATATAATAAAGTGATTTCCTCCTGTTGAAATAATCTGTATTATATGATCATGTGTTGTAAGCAGTGTTGGGACTAACGCGTTACAAAGTAACGCGTTACTGTAACGCCGTTATTTTTGGCAGTAACTAGTACTCTAACGCATTACTTTTTAAATTCAGTAACCCAGTTACCGTTACTACATGGTGCGTTACTCCGTTAGTTTTTTTTATATAGTCAACAGCCAGGCGAACAGAGATGAGAACTGTACTTAAGTACTTGAGTAAATGTACTTAGATACTTCCTGTGTCACATGCGGAGACGGGCTGTGGGCGTGTTTTTGTTGTTTACTAACAAGACTATCATGGCGGCGGCGGAGCTCAAGTCTAGTTTCTCCACCTGGAGATATTCTCACTATTTCACTTTTGTCGAGCACAAAGAAAAGAAAGTTTCTGTTAAATGTAAGTTGTGTCTTGGCGGGTCAAAGATCTTATCTACTGCCCAAACCAGTCATTCAAATCTCTTAAAACATCTGCAAAAACAACATGCTGGGACGAAGCTAGTAGCTAAGACCACAGAGACTCAGCCGACGCCACTCCACCTCCACCTAAGCAACAGCGGCTGGATTTTAACCAAGGGACTGCTGGCCAGGGAAAAGTGGATAAAGCCATTGCACGGTATGTTGTAGAACACATGCAGGGTATTGCTACAGTGGAGTCACCCGCTTTCAGGGAGCTAGTTAGCATGATAGCATGTCCGGGCGGCACACGGCATATGGGACGGAAAACTTTTTCCAACTACCTGGAGAAAGAATATACAAAAATGGAAAGCCAGCTAATATCGATGCAATCCAGATTGCATATAATGCATGTCAAGTTGATCAACAGATTGTATTATTCTCCAATGCAATAACAGTACTGAAATGAAGGCTATAAGGGCATTAATGGGAGCCCTTTTTTCAAGTAACTAAAACGTTACTTTTCACAGTAACGCATTACTTTTGGGTGTAAGTAACTAGTAAAGTAACTGAGTTACTTTTGAAATGAAGTAACTAGTAATGGTAACTAGTTACTGGTTTTCAGTAACTAGCACAACACTGGTTGTAAGTCATAGTGAGTTTCATAATGTAGTTTCTCTAAAGAGACCTTTGTAGAGACCTTGCACACGTCTGTCTGCAGCGTGTTATTGAGCATAGGATCTTGTAACATGTGATTGCAAAAGGTCCAAAGGTATAGTGCTGTGTAAACTCAAAACAAGTGTATGAAACCTGTGAGATTCGGTTATTCTTTAGACAGACACACGCTGGCTCTTATACTGTTGTACAACCATATCATAATTTCTTCAATCAGCAGTGTGTCTGTGTTTCTATTTTGTTGTATCTTGTTATGTCTTGAGTGTCTAAGGTTTCGGATCCGCGACACTCCTTCCTCACCTTCCCGTTGGTGTCTTTGGGCTGCAGCCCTTGAGCCTGGATGACGTAGACTCGCACCACGCACTCCTCGTTGCCGTTGGGAGGAAGTTTCCTGAACTGTCGGGGGGGCGGAGGGGTCGAGGGGTCGTCTGGCAGCGGGTAGATCTTAAACATGCCCTGATGTGATGAAGGAAAGGAGACAAGACACAGTTAAAGAACAATTAAAACACTTCAGTTGAAATTTGGAGATTTTGACGATGTTGACGTGATGTGGAAACTTTTTTGTTGTTTTCCTGTGTGCTGTTACGCCTGAATGTAATACTTTCCCCTAACATTAGAACGACTTCTGCAACAACAGTAAGGTTTTAGTGATGATGCATTTGTTTTGGGAAGTAGTGAGCATACAACGGGATAAAAGAGACTTGGATTATACCGCACTTGTGTTAAACTTTGTACCGATATAGTCTAATAATGTTGTTAAAAGCAGCCGCTTTCACTTCAATGAATTCAAGACTTTTCTCCGTTTTTTGATTCTGCATTTACCGTGGAGTTTTAAAATGTTGAGGTTGAAGTGTTCCTTTGAAGTGATGAAAAGTAAAGTGATATATAATGCGGCGTAATACAATTAATTTAAACTAAAGAAAAAAAAATATGCAGAGGAACACCGAACGAACACAACTTAATAAAATGAACTAAACAGAAAAGAAAATAATGAATAAAGCTGAAAAAAGTAAAGCAATCCGATGTAATGTGCAAGCTTTTATCTCTATGTGCTTTCATGTCAATTTTGTGTTCGTAATAATGTGCTTGTAATTGTGCTTTAATAAGGGCTGTACTTGTGCTTAAACTGGGTTCATGTGGTTTGTCTGCGCTCTTATGTTTTCAAGTGTTCATTATAATAAATGCGTTGTCCCTTCTCTAAATTACATCTTAAACTAACTTCTCACCTTGAACTCTCCCACCACTGAAGGGTCTTCTCCTTCGTCCTGAGTCTTTCCTCTCTGAAGTTTAAATGTCTGACAGAAATCTGACAGACCCCCAAAGCTCTCCACCTTCTCCAGCTCCCTGTCGTACACCTGAGGAAGAGGAGGAGGAAGACGAGAGGGGTTAATATCTGATGTTTAGATGAGTTGTTGAAACCTAAAAAGGATGATGCAAATGAAAGAAAATCTGGACTACAATCCCAGTGATCCTGCAACAAATAAGGCCCCGTCCACACGGAGACGAAACGGAGACGCTGTAGTACATATGCCGGGCCTGTAAGTGGCGCTGTACTTCCGCCACAAAATACACCAAAAGCAGCGAAGAAGACCGATGACGATTATCATTATATTATATTATTTTTGTTGCTGATGGTTGTGGAAGAGCAGCCGTAAATGTTGCACTAAAATCTGTATCATGGTGAGTAGCGTCTGGAGGACGAACGCAACCCTGTGATCCGCCATTGTTGTTGTTGGTGAAACGCATCAGCAATGATGCGGGGGTGAGCAGGAGAGGCAGGGCTATGGCGTCATTGTTTTCAGGAAATGATCGTATAGGGCGTAGACACGGAGTCGCAAGTGTTTCGTCCTCAGATCTATGTGTATCGGATTCGGGCTCCAAATCCGCGTTTCCATTTCGGCCTCGTGTGGACGAACTGTCTATAGAACGTTAGAGGATTCAACTGATATCGTCTCCGTGTGGACGGGGCCTAAAGGCCCTGGGACACCAAGCCGATTTCGGCCGTCGATAGATGTCTGGCCGCCGATGAGCGTCCTGTCGCCCTTCTCAGATTGGTGTGTCCCTCACCGTTGTGTCTTTTCGGCCGTGCCGACACCTTCCGCTCCCGATTGAACATGTTGAATCGGGAGCGGAGGCTGTCGGCAAAGAAATCACTTCTTAACACGATTAAGAAGGCATACACAGACGGCTATTCTTTTTCATTTTGTGAAACAGTCTGTGATGGACGAGAGTGAAAATGGAACGCACACGCTATTTGTTGTTAGTTTATATCACGCAGTCTGTCTTCCGGTTGTTGCCTCTTTTGAATGACGAATACACACTACCGCCGCCTGCTGGTAAGGAGAGTTATTGCCACTCACGCATGCGCAGTTCGTACGTGCTTCTTGGCCGTCGGCTGAAGTCTTTGCGGTGTGTTCCAGTGCGACTGTTGGCCAAGACGCAGGAGACGTGAGGCGACACAACAGTCGGGTCCGTCGGGACGTGTTCTTTGGTGTCAGTTTGGTGCATCAGGGCCTTAAAGCGACTCTTTACTGAACATGACCTCATCATACGTCAAAATGCACCAAAACATCTGCGTGTAATGTACTCTTTAATATTACATTACATTGCATTTAGCTGACGCTTTTATCCAAAGCGACTTACAATAAGTGCGTTCGACCAACAAAATACAAACTTGAAGAAAACAGAATCATATAAGTACATCAGGTTTCATAGAGCAAAAACATTTCAAGTGCTACTCCACTGGCTTTAGATAAGCCAGTCCTTTATTAGTATAAAAGTGCTTTGTTAGTAATTCTATCGATCGAAGTGGAGTCGAAAGAGATGAGTTTTCAGTCTGCACCGGAAGGTGTGTAAGCTATCTGCTGTCCTGATGTCACTGGGGAGCTCATTCCACCATCTTGGAGCCAGGATAGCAAACCCACGTGTTTTTGCTGATGGGAACTTGGGTCCCCTTCGCAGCGAGGGTGCAGCGAGTCGTTTGGTTGATGCAGAGCGGAGTGCACGTGCTGGGGTGTACGGTTTAACCATGTCCTGGATGTACGAAGGGCCAGATCCATTCGCAGCATGGTACGCAAGTACCATTGTCTTGAAGTGGATTCTAGCAGTTACCGGAAGCCAGTGAAGGGAGCGGAGTGGTGTGGGAAAATGTAGGAAGGTTGAAGACGGGGTTATGTCGGGTTTTAGGAAGGATTTTAATAACGTTTTTTTAGTTATCAAGCTTTCTGTCAGCATTACACTAACTCTTGCGTTGATGAAGGTCAACGACAGATTTTTGCACAGATTCGATACCAAGGAAGCTTTTTTCTTTTACACCTGAGGAAGAGGAGGTGGGTTAATATCTGATGTGTTTAGATGTGTTGAAAGTGTTGGGGTTAGAGCCTAAAAAGGATGATGCAAAAGTCTGGACTACAATCCCAGTGATTCGGCACCAAACCCAATACAAGAAAAGAGAGAGGAACCAAAACAAGGAGGGAAACAGCAGCGCTTACTGTCAGGGAGGAAAGGAAGAAGAGAGGTGAGGAAGGGGTGAGAGTGAAAGGGAGAGGGGTGAGCCAAGGAGAGAAGAGAGGGACAGGATATTGAAAAGGACAGAAGAAGAGACGAGGCGAATGTCAGCAGGTTGGCGCACAAAAACAGGAAAATAAAATAGTGTTTTTATCCCTCTGGCAGCTCGTATTCATGACCTCAAATCTCATTATATTAATAATACAATTAAACAATTATGGTTTAGAGCATTTTTGGCTGCATGGAGGCACTTCTTCTTTGACTGATAACACAATAAAAACTGAACACACAGGCACGATACACACGTTTTTTGAATGAAGCGTGACTTCATCATTAATTCATTAAATGTATGTCTGTTGTTAAGAAAGGAACTTATGATTCCTAGGAAATAGACAAAGCTCTCCAAAACATGCCACAGAAACTCAGTTTTCATTGTCTCTTACTCTTGTATACATGTTAAGCGGTAACTTATTAGGTTTGCATCACTGTGTCCAAAGCACTAGCTCTTGACCTTTTTTATTTCTATTTCTTATTGCACTTATTTTTATGTCTTAGGTTTATAGTTTGTTGCACTCTTGAGGGAGTCTGTACCGTTAGATTTTTAGACCATAAATCCTTTAAACCTTTGAATATTTGCCGTTTTTCTTCAGGGATCTCTCCTTTTTCCTAATTGGTTGAGAAACATTTCTAAACTCACTTTCTAGCAGACCTCCACGATGGCGCCAGAGCTGATGATGCAAGAGGAGGAAGAGGAGGAGAGGGAGACAGAAAGGTGACGAAGGGGGAGGAAAGGTGAGGGTTTAGATGAGAGGAAGTTTACTTCAGGTCACATCCAGGCTGGAAAAGTGAGACAGGACAAGTACATCCTTCACTCAAGTAGAAGTACAGATACTCGTGTTTAAAAATACTCTGGTGAAAGTAGAAGTACTGACTAAACTTCTTTACTCAAGTCAAAGTAAAGAGGCTTTGAAATGTACTTCAGTAAAAAGTACCCATAGCTAGCAGCTGCTTTAAAGAGTACCTGACCTCCCTTTATATTAATAGAACAATAATGTAATTGTTAGCTAATGAATGTTTCCATGCTGAACAACGGCAACATGACAACGTTTCCATTGGTCCCTCTTCTTTAGAGAAGACCAGGAAATGATGGATACACGGATCGTGTTCAAATCAATAGGCACGCAATGACTCTAAATAATAATGATCACGCACCAAACACACATTCAGACTAAAGGAACCAGCTGTTTGGAAAATGAGAGAAGTAGAAGTAAGTATTGGTAAAGTACAGGTATTTGAGTTCAACATGTAAGAAGTAGAAAGTACAGGTATTTGAGTTCAACATGTAAGAAGTAGAAAGTACAGGTATTTGAGTTCAACATGTAAGAAGTAGAAAGTACAGGTATTTGGGTTCAACATGTAAGAAGTAGAAAGTACAGGTATTTGGGTTCAACATGTAAGAAGTAGAAAGTACAGGTATTTGAGTTCAACATGTAAGAAGTAGAAAGTACAGGTATTTGGGTTCAACATGTAAGAAGTAGAAAGTACAGGTATTTGAGTTCAACATGTAAGAAGTAGAAAGTACAGGTATTTGGGTTCAACATGTAAGAAGTAGAAAGTACAGGTATTTGGGTTCAACATGTAAGAAGTAGAAAGTACAGGTATTTGAGTTCAACATGTAAGAAGTAGAAAGTACAGGTATTTGAGTTCAACATGTAAGAAGTAGAAAGTACAGGTATTTGTGTTCAACATGTGAGAAGTAGAAAGTACAGGTATTTGAGTTCAACATGTAAGAAGTAGAAAGTACAGGTATTTGAGTTCAACATGTAAGAAGTAGAAAGTACAGGTATTTGGGTTCAACATGTAAGAAGTAGAAAGTACAGGTATTTGTGTTCAACATGTGAGAAGTAGAAAGTACAGGTATTTGAGTTCAACATGTAAGAAGTAGAAAGTACAGGTATTTGAGTTCAACATGTAAGAAGTAGAAAGTACAGGTATTTGAGTTCAACATGTAAGAAGTAGAAAGTACAGGTATTTGGGTTCAACATGTAAGAAGTAGAAAGTACAGGTATTTGAGTTCAACATGTAAGAAGTAGAAAGTACAGGTATTTGGGTTCAACATGTAAGAAGTAGAAAGTACAGGTATTTGAGTTCAACATGTAAGAAGTAGAAAGTACAGGTATTTGAGTTCAACATGTAAGAAGTAGAAAGTACAGGTATTTGAGTTCAACATGTAAGAAGTAGAAAGTACAGGTATTTGGGTTCAACATGTAAGAAGTAGAAAGTACAGGTATTTGAGTTCAACATGTAAGAAGTAGAAAGTACAGGTATTTGAGTTCAACATGTAAGAAGTAGAAAGTACAGGTATTTGAGTTCAACATGTGAGAAGTAGAAAGTTCAGGTATTTGAGTTCAACATTTAAGAAGTAGAAAGTACAGGTATTTGAGTTCAACATGTAAGAAGTAGAAAGTACAGGTATTTGTGTTCAACATGTAAGAAGTAGAAAGTACAGGTATTTGAGTTCAACATGTAAGAAGTAGAAAGTACAGGTATTTGTGTTAAACATGTAAGAAGTAGAAAGTACAGGTATTTGGGTTCAAAATGTAAGAAGTAGAAAGTACAGGTATTTGGGTTCAAAATGTAAGAAGTAGAAAGTACAGGTATTTGAGTTCAACATGTAAGAAGTAGAAAGTACAGGTATTTGGGTTCTAAATGTAAGAAGTCAAAGTAAAAAGTCGTCAGAAAAATAAGTAGTGGGGTAAAGTACTGATACCAGAAAAATGTACTTAAGTACAGTAACAAAGTATTTGTACTCCACTACTTCCCACCTCTGGGTGAGAGGGAGGACATG